TCACCACCACAAGGGTCAGTGCTGTATAGCCACGCGTCTAGTTTCATACGGTTTCATATGAAACTGAAACAGCCCCTGGACCCGGGTTCATATGAAACTGTTACCTCCCCAGTTTCATATGTTTCAGGCGGTTTCATACGGTTTCATATATCGCTGATGAGTCTCAAATATCTTAGTACTTAACCAAGAAATTCCGCAAACCAAATGCCCTCAGCGCAATTGGAACTTCCTAATAATAAATATGTCATCAGCCTCGCCCCCTCCATTGCTATCAGAGCCGTCTGATAAGCTTCTAGGATCTGTTTCACCTGATTCTCCTGTTCCCGCGAAGCGTCCATTGGATCGCTCTCCCTCTGATCGTGCCGGCAAGCGCGCCAAGGGCCGCACGAATAAAAGGACTTGGAGCGAGGCCCGTGACCCTGATGAAGAGAGAGGGGAGAAAGCTCGCGATAGCTCATACCACGAAATTTGGTATTGCAAGCACTGCGACTCCACGAAAAAGCCTAATTCGGTCACAACGAACTTGAGTCGAGCCCGCAAGCACCTGCGGGACTTTCATGGTATCCGGATTGTTGAACAGGTAGAAAGGTCGGATCTGAAGAAGCAGCAACATGGCACTATCACGGATATGTTTGGAAGGCAGGAGCAACGCCAGGCCAATCGAGACCTTAATGAGGAAAAATATTTGGTAAATGCTATTAACATTCCCGCATTCGAGGAAGCACTCGCCAGGCTCCTTGCGGTTCGCAATATCGCCCACACGTTCATCGAATACCCCGAGTTTCATGCCGTTATACTCTCCTGCAACTACATGGCCCGGGACGTCCTCCTGCGCAGCCGCAGCGCGGTCCCAAAGCTTCTCGAAAAGACCTTCGCTCAGCACAAACAAGGCCTCGTTGAGAAGCTTCATAATTCTCTCTCATCTATGGTCCACTTCACCATTGATATGTGGACCTCATCGGAACAGAAAGCGGCATATCAGGCAATCGTGGCTCACTTTGTAGATGCGGAGACCAGAGAAGTTGCTCAAGCTTTGTTGTCACTGCGCGAGTTCAAAGGAAGCCACAGTGGGGAATTACAAGCCAAGACTTTCCTGGAAGTTACCGACGAGTACGGCCTCAGGGGAAAAGTTGGCTACTTCACGATGGATAATCACGATGCTAACGATACCATGCTTGACGGTATTGCAAAAGAGATTGAGGGTTTAGATCCGGTTGCCAAGCGACTACGCTGTAGTGCCCACGTCATGAACATCATCGTTCAGTCCTTGATCTCTCGGAGCAAGGCAAAGAAGATCCAGGAGGATGAGCAAGAGGGGATCGATGAAGCCTATGAGCAGCTGTGCAGGCTATCCCAAAAAGAGGGAGGAGGCAGTATCACGAAGGCGCAAGCTACCGAGGAGTGGCGGGAGTTTCCTGTTCTAGGCAAACTCCACAATTTGTGCATATATTCAAGAAGCTCTACCAGCATCCACAATGACTTCAAGGCCAAGATTGGTAGGGCCTTACCGAGGGACAATGATACACGCTGGAACTCATGGTTTCGCCTCATTGACGTGGCCATTGAGAGACGGGCAGAATTCATGGATTGGATTCAAGAAAACCATGCCAAAATCGAGAAAGACGCATTGGACCATAACGACTGGAACGAACTCAGAGATATTCATGCATTCTTACAGGTATTCCACCAGATCTCAGTACGTCAAGGCCGAGAAAATACGCTCGACGAAGTTCTTTCCCATATGGATTTCCTCCATCATCACTTCACGCAGACCAAAAACAAGGCTTCCAGTAACCCACGCTTCTATGCGCGTTTTCACGTCGCTTGGTTAAAGTTCGAGAAGTATTACCAGCTTACCGAACAAGCCCCTGTGTACGTGGCTGGTATTCTCCTCCACCCAGCACTTCGAAAGAGCTACTTGAGTGAGCAGTGGAAAAGAAATCCAGCCTGGGTTAGCAATGCCGTGAAGGCTGTACGGAATATTTGGTCCACAGAGTACAAGAGCTACCAGCTCCCAGACAAGCAGCAGGAAAAAGAGCAAGAAGTCGATGAGTTTGATCGCTGGAGGCAGAAGATTTACAGCACAGCGAGTGAAGTGAAGGACGAATTCGACCGCTTTATTTATGTAAGTAATTTGAAGCTTTTTAATGGCTGGGTTTTAACCATATCTTGCAGGGCTCACAGGTTGGTATTGGGCGACAAACAGCGTTACAGTGGTGGCTCGAACCGACACAGCGAGAGAACTTCCCCCTCCTCAGCCGTATGGCTATTGACATTTTTTGCATCCCCCCAATGTCTGCAGAGGCAGAGCGAATATTCTCGGGAACGAGACGGCAGGTTACATGGGATAGAAGTAGCATGTCTGCTAAAATGGTAGAGGTATGTGAGTGCATTAAGAGCTGGATAAGTATTCCAAAAGGGAAGAGCAGACCGCTCCTCGCTGGGGTGTTTAGGAGAGCGGAAGATATTGACGCGGCTGTAAGGATACTCCAAGAAGATATCCGGGAAGATATAGACATGGATAAGGGGGTAGAAAGTGATAGCAAACCTGAAGGATTGGTAGTATAGGCAGACAGAAGGTACCAAACATCTTTGGGCAACTTGGAGAGCATGTCGCACATCGGTATAGCGCTTACCAAAATATTGCGCAGTAAGTAGATAATGTTTCATATGAAACTGAAACCGGTTCATATGAAACTGAAACTATACCGGTGTCCGGTTTCATGAAACTGAAACTCACCTCAGTTTCAGTTTCATAGCGTGTCTATACAGCACTGCCTTGAACTACATCTTACTGA